ACATTTGGAAATCAATAGACGTAATTTATCACATCAATAGACTTAAAGACAAGAATCACATAATTATATCACTAGATGCAGAAAAACCATTTCACCAAATATAGCATCCATTCTTGTTCAAAACACTAGAAAAACTAGGGATAGTAGAAACATACCTCAACATTGTAAAGGGTATATATGCTAAATCCAAGTCCAACATCATTCTAAATAAAGAAAAATTGGAAGCATTCCCACCAAAAAGTGGAACAAGACAGGGATGCCCTCTTTCACTACTTCTATTCAACATAATCAGAGAAACTCTAGCAAGAGCCATTAGACAGAAGAAAGAAATAAAGGAATTCGAATAGGAAAAGAAGAAGGCAAATATCCCTTCTTACTAATGACATGATTCTATTTAAAAGACCCCCCGCAAAAAAAAACCCACCAGAAAACTTTTAGAACTCATAAATGAATTCAGCAAAGTAGCAGTATATAAGGTTAAAACCCAAAAATCAATTGTGTTCCTATATATCAGTGATGAATCAACTAAAAGAGAAATGAGGAAAACTATCCCATTCACAATAGCCTCAAGGAAAAGAAAATATTCGGGAATCAATCTAAACAAAAGAGGTGAAAGCTATGGATAGCAGTACAGAGATTCCTAAGAAAACTTGGAATGAAGCCACCACTTGACCCAGTCATCCCACTCCTAGATTTATACCCAAAGGACTTAAAATCAGCATACTACAGTGACACAGCCACATCAATTGTTTGTAGCAGCTCAATTCACAATAACTAAACTATGGAACCAAACTAGGTACCCTTCAACAGATGAATGGATATAGAAACATATACACAATGGAATATTACTCAGCCTTAAAGAAGGATGAAATGATGGCATTTGCCAGTAAATGGATGGAACTGAAGAAATGTTACGCTAAGTGAAATAATTCAATCCCAAAAAATTAAAAGACTAAATGTTCTTTCTGATATGTAGATGTTGACTCACAATGGATGGGTACTGTTGGCAGGGGGTGCTGTTAGAGGTTCACCAGATTGGACGTGGGGGAATAAAGGGAAGGAAGGGGAAATGTGAATAGGAAAGACAACAGAATGAATCAGACATAATTCTCTTCTACTCATATATGAAAACATGATCAGTGTAACTCCACAACATGTACAACCACAAGAATGGGAAGTTATACTCCATGTATGTGTGATTTGTCAAAATACATTCTACTGTAATATATAACAAAAAAGAACAATTTTAAAAATAAATAAAACAACAAAAATTAACTAGTTATTAAATTGATCAAAATAAAATTTCTAAAATGAATCTTAACATTTTCTATGAATAAATATTTAGTGATAAATTCTTAAGGTCACATAGAGAGAGCTGAGAATATAGTTCAGTTGGTAGAGTGCTTGCCTAGCATGCACAATGCCCTGGGTTCAATCCCCAGCACCACCAAAAAAAAAAAAAAAAAAAAAAGTCACATAGGGACCTATTTCTTTTTTCCATTACATATGATAGATACTCCTGGTCAGAACAACCACGTGTCATTGTTTATTCATTTATGAAAGATTTACATTTCATAGATATCCATGAGCCCTTTTATAATTAAATAAATAGCTTTTCAAAAAGATGTATTACTTGTAAATATACAAAACAAGGGAAAACTTTTTCTTATTTAAACAGGTATTCAGGTATCCTACCACCCTCCGTTCCTTCATTTAAAAAAAAAAGAAAGAAAAAAAAGAAAATGTAAGGGAAAAGAGTCAGAGAAAATACCTGGGGTTAGAGGAAACTCTAAAGAATATAAAAGCAAAAATAATAATAATAATATAAAAGCAATTCATCTGACAGCTGATGGTTGTTTATTTGGCATCTAAACTTACTTCTATGAATAAGCACTTTATTTGTAAAGCATGTGATTGCCTCGGAGAAGGTTATAGAAATTTGCAGTGCCTTTTTCAAAAAATAATTTTGAAAAATATTTCTGAAAAGAAAGTATAAGTCAGATATCTCTATTTCTAAAGGCTGGGCAAGAGAATAAAAAATATGAAGAGGCCAAGTCAAGGAAAATACTCAGAGTCAGCCCTGGGGTAGAGTGCTGGTGTGTATGTGTGTGTGTGTGTGTGTGTGTGCGTGTCCACTTGTGTCTTTAACTCTGGGTTTGCAGACTACTCTTCTTCTATGCCTCTCCAATTTCTTCTACTATGTGCTTCATCTATCCATCCACAGAAAAGATGGTTCTCCCTTTTCTCTTGGCCTGTACTTCTCAATTGTTGTTTTGTAGTTTATTTTATACAAGTCCTACATTGTGCCCCTTGCCCTAAATCTTGGGAGTCTGCTCCACTAAAATAATGGCCAATGGGGTGCAGGGTAAACACATTTGGTCTGATGGTTCAAAATGCCCTAATGTGTGGAGAGAGGAGTGAGGGAGAAAGGTCTGATGAGGAAGAGAGAGAGCTTGTAAATATTTGATAATTTGTAAAATTGTACAAACGCTGATCTAAAATATGTAACTTCCACCAAGGCCAAAGCCCAGATCCTCACGTCCCACACAGCCAACAAGCCCTTACTGAGCACCATGAAAGCTGCAGACACTATGCTGATCCATAGACAGGAAGCAAACTCAAGGGAGAACACGTTCCACTCTCTTGAATTTTAAAATGCTGTCTAACAAATGACATAGGCATGTAAACATGACTAATTATAAAGCAAACCATGTTATAGTAAACTATAGGAAAGTTATGAAAGTATGGAGAATCGTGTAATCCTACTTATTCATATATGTAATTTATATCCTCTTTTAAGCTATCTTAAAAATTTAATCTAATGTTTTCTGTATAAAAATCTCAGCATACTTAATTTGCTCTGGGTATTCTTCTACCCTCAATACTTTGAAGGCATTTTGGCCCATTGCCTTACAAACATCTTTGTTTTCCAAGCATGATTTTTTTCTTGTGGTAGACTGGGACTAGAGTGGCATAGATGCAGCCTGCTCAACAAACATGCTAACAAGTATTTTATCCTCAATAAAGGCAGATCCCTAGCTCCTTGGATCTGTGGATTGGTAGTTCCCATCTTCAAGTGTTCTTTAAATGAAAGGATATTTTCATTTTTTGGAAAGACTAATGGCAAAGTTGATCTTAAATATGCTAGCATAAGATGTCAACTCTCTGTAAGTAATAATGTGAAAAGTGGCCGATGAAGAATTCCTGACTGGGTCAGTAATACTTGACTAATCAAAAGTTAGGAGACCATCTGAAATGCCCACCAGTGTACATGAGACAATTATAACTTCTCCCTATGTTCCTGCCATGATTTCACTCAAATGTGTAGTTGTGTCAAACTGGTTGGCAACATGCCAAAGGCAGAATGGATTTATATCAATATAACACCAAGAACTGAGACATGGTTTCTTAAGGAGCAGAGAAACCAATATAGTATTGTACAACTAGCGAGACATGAATTTCAACCAAGGAGGGAGAATTTTATCAACTCTCGCAAATTCCTTTTCCAAAAAAGCTAGTCCCGAAGGACAAGTTGTCAAGCCTTTTTTTTTTCCCTGTGTTTCTAATCCTAAAGGCTCATAATGGATTCAAAATTATTTATAAAAACACTAAAAAATATGAGGAGTATTTTTTTCTAGAAAATGTTTTGGGGACTGGGGTTGTGACGCAGTGGTAGAGAGCTTGCCTGGCATGTGTGAGGCTCTGGGTTCAATTCTAAGCAACACATAATAAATAAATAAATAAATAAAGGTATTGTATCCATGTACAACTAAAAATATTTTTTAAAAAAAGTTTTGGAGGGGGCTGGGATGTGGCTCAAGCGGTAGCGCGCTTGCCTGGCATGCGTGCGGCCCGGGTTCGATCCTCAGCACCACATACAAAGATGTTGTGTCCGCCGATAACTAAAAAATAAATATTAACAAAATTCTTTCTCTCTCCCTCTCTCACTCTCTCTTTAAAAAAAAAAAGTTTTGGAGGTAGTCAATTTGGTATCATAAGATGCAATAAATTCCCACACCTTTAAGTTCTCAAGCACTAAGTAGATTTTCCGCTTATCAATATAGAAATTATTATTCTATAAATTCCTCTTGAGTTCCAAATAGTGTTCATCAGGGCAATAGTGAGAAGACATTCCTTTCATTGACATTAAAATCATCCTACAATTGCCATCATATTATAGTATTATGCTATTCCGCCCATGTGTGAGGACCATGTATTTACATGTAGCATATCTTTTCTTGGAGTCTTCAGTCAAAACGAGCTGCAAGAAAAAGAAATTTGCAACATAAGTGAAGTAAAACACATAAATATGCACAGTTGTTCAATTTAATATTGTCCTGACATGTGCAGTTATTTTCATACCTTTGAGTATTTCACCCAAAAATACCTTGAACATTTATCAAGTCTTGGCTAAAATCCATTTGCTGCATTATAAATACATCTATGAAGGACATTATATATTTCTTGATCTACTTTTTCTCTCTTTAAATTGGCCTAGTGGCTAAAATCTTTTATGCCCAATCACTGACTAGATTTTGCTCTCTCAACGGTTTCCACTCTATTCAAGTTGGGGGCGGGGGGACCCAGCATGGCAGGACATCATCAGCCCCACTAACAGCATCACCAGCTGCATTTACTTACAGAACTTTATGTGCCTGGCATCATGCTAAGTATTCCAAACACATGATCTCAGTTATTCTTCTCAACAATCCAATGTGAGAAGCACTTTTATTAGTTACATCCATTCTCTGGAAAAGGAAACTGAGGCTGAGAGAAATTCAGTAACTCATTCAAGATGATACGGTAAAAGACAGAGCAAGTTTTAAACACAAAAATCTGTCTTGACACCAAAAACCATGCCCTTAGCCCCAATCCCCAAATTGCCCACTTCCAACTTGAAAACAGGTGCCTGGTGATTATAGAACACCCTCCAAAAAACATAGATGTAAAACAAAGGATATTAATGTATTTGGCTAAAATAAACAATGTGATATGTAGACTTCAATGGAAAGCTGTTGATTTTATTCATTTTTTATTCATACCCTATTTTGTCTTGGGGTTCAAATAAATTTAAAATTAAAAATATCTTCATAAAAAAGCAGTTGGTTGTCAAAAACAGAAAATGTTTGAACCAGAGTTATGCCAGCGGCCATGAGCACATGTCTGTCTGCACCCTCTTTCTTCCCAGAGTCTAATGGGAAAGCATGAAGTTGACGTAAACTCCAAGTTTCCTGGGGTTTGGCAGGCTGTTTCTTCCTGAGGGTTGGTATGACCACACAAGCAGTCCACACAGCTGCTCTGGACCAGGCCACTCAGGGTGTGGCCATTTAGATGAGCGTGGGAGGTAGCAGTGAGCTGACCACAGGGCCATGTTCCTGTAATGGCCCTTTCCGAATCCAGGTGGTTAAGGAGGTCTCCATGTTCTCCCCCACCCCTCTTGCACTCCCCCACTTAATGCAGAAAGTTTGGTTGGATGGTGGTAAGCTTCCACTCCAAGCAGAAGAACAAGCTGGGGAGCCAAAATCCCACACCTTTGAGGGTAATGCCAGGTTTCCAAGCAGCCCTGGTGCCTATTTGCAGGAGCACTTGGGTTTACCCAGACCTGTCAGTACACCGTGTGAGCGTTCATCCCACTGATGTGACTAAGCCAGGAACTTGCTCTGCTGTGGAGGTGGGCCTGTCCTTTTCGTTCCTCCAAGGATTTCCTGGGAGTTGAAGGATCACGAGGCATTTCCAGAAGAGCATGTGCAGGTGGCAGGTAAGGTTTCACCTCAGCAGAGAACTAGCACTTTTTTTTTCTTTTTTTTTTTTTTTTTAACGACAAGTCAAAAGCCAGCTATTAACACAGGAGGCTCACAGGGAAAGTCAAAAAAGAAAAGCATATTGGCATTCACATTAGATAGAAAAAGGATCCATGAAGCTGTTAGAAAACCCGGAGGGAAACAGAAGCCAAAGAAGTTTTCCTACTTACACACTAATGATGTTTATCCACACAGGAGACTACTTCTGTGCTAGTACTTTATATACAATTTAGAGGCCATTAAAATTTAATTTAAGATAATTCATTATAAATGTATTTTCTATTGGAAGCTTCAGAACTCAAACATCTCAGTAATCTCTGTTTTTTACTGACACTTGTTTTGCTTCCACCACCAAGGGAAAAGTGCAGGTAGAGTCGCCCACCAAAAATAATTGACTCCTCCCTCCAACCCTGCTGCTGAATATTCAAACACACAGCTGTGGGAGGAAGTGAGAGGCAGAAAACTTGACAGCAAAGAAAATCTCTCTGTTTTCCATAAAATTCAGGCACTTTGGCAGTTGGGAGGTGTGTTTTCCAGAGTGTTAGACACACTTCTTCAGTCCTGATTGAGAATGTTGTTATCAGCATCCTGTAATTGCAAAGGCCAAAATTAAATATTAATTTAAACGACATAGGAATGAACAAAGGGTGGGAGAAGCTGTCTAATAGAAATAACAGAAAAAAAAGTCTATTTCCAAGGGATTATCTACATCAATTTACATGGATAGTTAACTAGGTCCATATCTGAATATTGCATTTCAACATGAAGTAATGAAAATCAATAGAAACGTTAGAATCTAGGCCCTAACCTTTTATCTGACATTGAGCAAGTTACTTATGCATTCTAAGTCTCAGGACTCAACTGAAAAATGCAGTAAAATCATATCTAGGTATTACAGCGTAATAAGAAATGAAATCTCTCACCAGTTGGTAAACTTCATGAGAGCAGCGATCTGAGCTTTTTGTGTTTTTCCTGCACCTTCAGTAGCTGGGATTTTTTGGGCATTCAAATATTTGTTGAATGAATGAGGAGTGCTATGACAATAAAAGAGAAGCCATCTGTGAAATGTCTGTCCCATAACTGTTTAAAAAATGTTAATGCCCTTGTTAACCCCCACTAGATTCCAACTTCTTTCCCATCATATTAATCCAAATGACTAAGGCTAAACTCAAAGTCATAGAACAGGCTTACGTTCAGATAGTCTTATACATTTGCATTATGAATTATCTTTGAGTACTTCTTTTTAACCTCTTGTCAAGTTCATTAGAAGTACTATTGATTGACCTCCAGAAGATATTTCAAATCCATCCACTTCTGGATGTCACCACTGCCCCTATCTATTCTAAGCCATGATTCCCTAAGTGGCTTCTTGCAATAACCTCCTAACTGCCCTCTCTTATTCCACTGTGTCTTTGTCGTGCATTGCTGGATCTCCAGTTTCATTTCTACCATTCTCCCTCCTGCCCATGCTCCAACTCCACTGACCTCCTTTTGGTTCTTCACATCACTCTTTTTGGTCTCAAATCTTCATACTTATTATTAGATCTATTAAAGCATACTTTTACCCCAGCCCTGATGTGGGTGGTTGCTACAAATGCACAAATCACTCAAATATACCTGTTCAGAGAGGTTCCCCTGATTACCATACTTTTTCCATACCATGTTTCTTCATATTGATGATCTATTTGCTCATTTACTAATTCTTGGCTATAATCTGTCCCACCACTTACTGATTATGCAGTTGGGCAACATACATAATCCCTCTTATCTATGTTATCTTCACCTAGAAGATAAAGGTGATAAATATTACTAATGTAACTAGAGTTGTGGTAAATCCAGGGGGTATCATGTGAAAAGAGTTACCTAGAATATATACTTGCTCACTGAGCATTAGCTATGTTTATTATTTTATTGTTATTTTCACCGGCCACAATACAGTTTCTGTAAGGGTGGGATCCACATCTGTGTTTTTTTTCATCACTGTATTGTTATTTCCTGGAGCTGTGCTGACCCTAACTCATAAAGAAATGTTAACTAAATGAGTAAATTCCACCTAAGCAGGGCATTTCCGTTGAAGAGCTACTTGTGAATCAATACACAGACGTGTTGAAATGTACATAGGTTAGTTTGCTGAAGTACATCATATAAGATAGAAAAGAGGACTTGTTCTGTGACCATGTCTCACCAACCCTCCCACAACCACTCTGGTGAAGCCACAGGAATGACCTTGGAAGCCTCCTAAGAGGTCTCCCTTCTCCTACTTTCATCTCCCTACAATCTATTCTCTGCACAGAAGTCATGTGATCCTACTAATATATCAGGTTATGCCATATGTGCTTTTAAAATTGTCCAATGTGCATGGGGATATAACTCAGTAGTAGAGCACTTGCCTAGCCTGCACAAGATCCTGGATTTGATCCCTAAAACTGAAGGAAAAAAAATCCTTCACTGGCTTCTTATCCGACATGGAAGAAATTTCAAATTCTTTGCTGTAGCCTAAGACTTACACATTCTAGCTGCTGCCTCACTCTTCAAACTCATCTTCTCTCACTCTGTTCCCTGGTGCCACCCTCCCGCACAACTGACCACACAACTGATCAGGGAAAAAGTAGGTTTAAAAATCATGATAGAATTGAACATAAACTTTTGGGACTAGGGTTATAACTCAGTGGTAGAAGTATCAGAGAGGAAATGGGAGGAATGAAAGACTGACCAAGAGATCCAGTATTTGCAGAGAAGAAATAACCTCTCCCCCCACCGCCAAAATACAAATTTTAACAAATACATAAAGTTACAATTTAAGAAAAATTTATTGAAATATGGATTTGAATCTCTATATCACAAGGACAAGCTGTGCCAGGAATGGTTATTTAAAGTTGAGTTCTCTTTTTATTGTCAGGTATATACTGTTTACATTATATTTCTTCACCATAAGCTTCAATGTGTGTTGCTCATAATTGTGCAGTTAGACTCATTTAGTGAAAACCGTGAGTCCTTTTGCTGCAATTTTCTTAGTTTATCTCTTGATTGTTTGAAAATTTTCTTCTAGTAGTTTCCTTCTAGTAGTGTCCATGAGGACAATATTCTAAGAATTCGCCCATATTTAAGATCATCTGTACTTTTTATTTCTGTGTGACAGTGTGGCTCTCTTTCTTTGTGGAGTATTCCACAGGCATTGCTCCATTGTTTTTCTTATTGATAAGTGCTTAGTGATTCTGATATATCCTTCCTTATTAAGTAATAATTTTTTTCCTGGCTGTTTAATCCTTTCTTTATTTTAAACTTGTATATTTTTGTTAGGATGAGAGGAAAAGAAAAGGATGTGATTAGAATGGTGAAATTCCACCTTCAAGAGCCAAGAATCAAATGCTACTATTTTGAACTGGCAGATAACCATATACAATTCTACCAAAAAAAAAAAAAAAAAAAAAAAGACATTAAGAAAGGTGGGCTGGGGATGTGTCTCAAGTGGTAGCGTGCTCACCTGGTATGCACGGGGCACTGGGTTCTATCCTCAGCACCACTTAAAAGTAAAATAAGGATGTTGTGTCCACTGAAAACTAAAAAATAAATATTAAAAAATTCTCTCTCTCTCTCTCTCTCTCTCTCTCTCTCTCTCTCTCTCTAGCTCTTTCTTTCTCTCTCTTTCGTAAGAAAAAAAAAAAAAAAGAAGAAAGGTAATTGAACCGGGCATGGTGGTACATGCCTGTAATCCCAGAAACACAGGCAGCTGAGGCAGAAGATGGAAAAGTTTGAGGCCAGACTCAGCAATTTAAGGAGACTCTATCTCAAAATGAAAAATAAAAAGGACTGGGAATGTATCTAATTTAAGCACCCCTAGTTCAATCTCTGGTACAAAAAAAAAGAAAGAAAGGAAGGGAGGGAAGGAGGGAGGGAGGGAGGGAAAGGAAGAGAAAGGAAGGGAGGGAAGGAGGGATGAATGGAGGGAAAGAAAGAAAGGTAATTCACTAAATCTCTGGAGAGAGAAAAGGAAGCAATAGTAAAGAAACAGCCTTCATCATTGTTCATAAGAGACAACTAATAGATACTAGTATCCAAAGATTAGGACTAATGGTATTATATTAAGATAGAGTTATGAAAATACTAAAAGAAAAATCTAAGCCTCACTAAATATCAGCAAAAACTTCACACTGAAAACAATAAGCAAACATACCATATTGTAACTGACTTTTTAAAAGAGTTATAAATCAGAAATATGATATAAATTAATAAAATGAACATCACTTTGATCATTATCAATAAATGTAAATTGCTTTGATTCATCAATATTAAGGAAAGCATTTACAGACTGAATCACAAAGTAAAACCCAACTCTATGCCAAATACAAGGAAAATCCGAAGATAAAGTGATTCTAAGGCCTGAAAATGAATGGATGATTATATATATTTGTACATACACACACACACACACATAAAATGAAAGTCACAATATTTATATCAGACAATGTGGAATGCAGGAAAAAAGCATTAAATGAAACAAAGAATAGAATTTAATAATGCCAAAGCATATAATCCCCAATGAAGATATAATACTTAATATGGCTATATAACAAATAAAATAACCATAAGATACACTGAGCAAAAATTACAGGAGACAAAGGAAACTAAAACACACACACATACACACACACATTTTGGGAGACCTCAGTTCACCTCTCAAGTGCATGACTCATTAAATAAACAAAAGCCAAAGATTTAGAAATATCACAAATTGCATAATTGATATAATATAAGTTATTAAAATATTATAAATTCTGCTGCCTGAAAAATAGAGTATATCATTTTTTTCAAAATGATAGGAAACAGAAAACTTAATAAAATCTAATTACAGAATCATATAAACAACATTCTTTAGTCACAATAACCACAGTATTAATGACTATATAAATATTCTAAATAATATATTAGCAAACTGAATCCAAAAGCTCATTTAAAAAAATAAAACAACATTATCAAATGAGGTAATGAGGGTTCAGTTCTAGAAACTCTATTAATGCAGCTCATTGTATTGACAGATCCAAAGCATCTCTCCATAGACACTAAAAATTGGACAAAATTTATCAGCCTTTCTTGATATAACAAACACAAAATACAGAAAAAAATTAACAATATAAAACTAGAACAAGGCATCTTAGCATGATAATATGTGTCTGTTTTAATTCAAAGCCATCATACCTTCTTGACCTTCATGAGAACCTCTTAACTGTGCCGCCTAGTACCCAGTAAGACCACCACTATTGACACTGTGATAGAGTTATTAGTCTAAAAATTACCCAGTAGAAAGAAACTATAAGTATAAAAAATGGATGAGATGAATTAAAATACCACTAATGGTGGATGACATAGTAATGGAAGATTAGAAGATTGAAGATATTTTATTAACAGCTACTACAAACAGTAGGATAGCTCAATTATATTATCAAGTACAAAATCATCATACAAAAAACAGTAGTTTACATATACTCAAACAATCTTTTGGAAGATTTAATGGAAGAAAAGATTTCACATATAACAGTAACAAAAATATATTAAGAAAATGTGAGACCTATTAAAAATGAAACTTAAAACACCACTGAAGGCAAAAAAATAGCTTTCTAAAAATAAAAGGACCATATTATTATGAAAATTAATTTGTAAATTTAACAAAATCTCACTGAAAACTCAACAGTTTTAAGCTACATCACCTGATGTTAAATTTAGTAAAAAGAATAAACATAGAAGTGGGACCAGCACTAAAACACATTAAGGCATTTTTAAAAGCTTAAATAATTTAGAGTATCATACTGGTCTACTAGCAAAACAGAATGCCCAGAAGTAAGTACACCCAGATACATACAGAAATTGAATGCATAAAAAGGATACCATCTCAAATCACTGGGAAAAAGAAGTAGTCAATAAATGTTATAGGGATAAGTAAAGTAATATTCATGCCTTACCTCATATGCCATGATAAATTCTATATGTACCAAAGTTTTTTTTTAACAACACAATAATTGAATAATCAGAAGAAAAC